GTATCAGCTTGGTCCCCAGGGTGGCACTACTGGAAGGCACTGGAGCCTTTAGGAGGGATGTCTGTGAGAGATCTCTACAGACACCCAGGGCATGCCCTTCACAGGGACTTCTCAGTCTCTTTTGCTTTCTGGCAATGAAGTGGCTCCACCATGTACTCCCACTGTGATGGTCTGGCTTACCACAAGCCCAAAGTAATGAGGCCAATCCACCACAGACTGCAGCCTTTGAAACTGCCAATCAAAAGAATCCTTTTCTCTTTGTAAATTAATTATCTCAAGTATTTTGTTATACTGATGGAAAGAAACTTGACTAACACATAAATATGTGGAAACTTTGTGACACTATAGGCTTTTGTTAAAAAAAAAAAAGTCAAAAAATTTTTCAGCAAATACAAAGTGTTTGTAATAAGCGCTTCCCTGGCAAGCGCAAGGGCCTGAGTTCAATCCCCGGTTTGCCAAAAAAAAAAAATGTTTTCTACAACAATAACATCTGACATATTATGTTCTATAACTTCATATGGGACATACATGCTGCACTAAGTCTGAAAACACTAAATATTCAAATAATTTGTAAAGCATTTCTGTAGAAACTGAAGACATAGTTGGTAAAAAAAAAAACAACCCCAATGTGTACGTATAAATAAGAATATTATTTGCTGATCAAAACAGTCTGCTACAGAGGTACTTCAGTGAAAATTCAAATTTCACTAACACTGCCATCAGTTTTGTGATTTTCAAAAAAAACAGCAAACAATCCTTGATAAAAGTTTTGAATGCAGTGAAGCCTTCCCTACACGTACACACCTGGTAAGCCATTACACTTCTATCAGGTCTCAACAATGGCTTCCATGCAACCATGCTCTCTTGCTGTCTACCTTGGTAGTCCCATCCCACTTTGAATCTGGAATGACTGTCTTTGCAACAGGATGTTTACAATGGTAGTACATGTAAGACAGCATTAAATTATATATGACGACTGTACATGTTTTCTATACATAAATGTCTGGAGGAATATTAATATGTGGTCTACAAGTTAATTCTGTTCAACACATTATAAGTCATGCTTTCTTGCTTTCCAGTAATACCTACCAACAGTGACAACAAAGTATATTCCAACACATTGACAACTCCCTACTAGATGACAAGATCCAAGACTGCTGGCAAAGCCAAGATTTTTTCTGATCTTTTAGTTCAGAAACACACATCTTTAAGCATGAATTCATCCATGCATAAGATGCACGAAGATGCTGTTTTAATCTTACATATATGTGGCTGGGTATACTTTCCAAACTATTGAAAGAGCAGAAATATGATGTATTTTGAAATGTAAAATATCCAGCCTTTTATAAGTAGTACAAAACTTTAACCCTATTAAACATTCATAATATGTAGGTCTAACTTGGATCCTAATCAAACAAGGTGCAAAGGAAAAAAAAAAAAAAGACAGCTAAGAGTCAGATTCATGAATGCATGCCTGTACACTCAGGCTAAGGCAGAAGGATCACAAGTTCTACACCAACCTGGGCAACTCAGCAAGATCCTATCTCAAAATCAAAATTAAGAGGCTCAGAATGTAATTCAGTGGTAGAGGTGCTACACAAAAAATAATAAAAGCAACAGAATTTATGAAATTCCACTCTATACATATTAGACAGTAAGATTTAAATAAATAGAGCCAGCTAGATAGTTCAGTGGACTAAGCACCTGCTTTGGCAAGCACAGGGACCAGGGTTCAACCCCTAGTCCCACACGCCCCGCCCACAGGGCATATTGAGCCAGCTATCAAGTCAGCGTGGCAGCACACATTTGTAATCCCAGCACATGTGAGGCTGAAAACAGGAGGATCACCATGAGTCTGAGCTGTATAGTGAGACCCTGTACCAAATACATAAATAAAAAATATAAAAATAAATGTTTACGTAAGATAAAACTGATACTCAAACATCTGCATGTTAAGTCTGTGAAATTTTATGAAGCATTCCAATCATTCATTTAGGTCATTCTGAACTTTGTAACTCTAATCCTCACCCTCTGCACAGCTCCTAAGTGTTTACAAACACAGAACCTGATGATACTGTAAACATTTTGGTTTTATGATGTCCTCGGATATACTGTTAGAAGGTATAAGTGTCTGAGATTCCTGTCACAAATTTCCCTTTTTCTCTGCATACTGTTTGCTCTGTCCCTGGGATTTTCCCCACCAACTTAAATCCGAGCCACCCTCAAAAGCAAGCAATTTTTTTTTTAATTTTATTTATTTATTTAGTGTGTGTGTGTGTGTGTGTGTGTGTGTGGCCAGCTCAGCCCACCAGGGGGCGGGGCTGGCTGGCATGTGGTGCTGGGGGATTGAACTGCGGTCCCTGTGCTTTGCTTGGCTTAGTTTGTTCTAAGTAGGTGCTTTAGACCACTGAGCCATCTCACCAGCCCAAGCAAGCAATTTTTTGTCTCTTCTGTGAGGTCTTTCCATTTTTTTCTTTTCTGCCAACAAATTGAGCCTCTCTCTTCCATATTTTGAAACTTACCACCTCATCATGTTACAATTAATCTGTTACATATATGTCTTTCCAACTAGGACACTTTGTCAGCTAAGCTTGCATGACACAACCGTAACTGCATCCATAACACCTAGTACAGTAACTGTCATAAAATGCTCCAGTGGCCTACAGACCTGCATGCCTTCTTGCAGGATATAAGGTTCGTGAGTCCATTTCAGTGATCCAGCCACGTCCTTGCTGCTGTGCTTCAGTGTTTGGGTATCAATCTCAAGACCTCGCACATAAGGAAACAGCCCCTGAGCTACACCCTCAGTTCTCATTCTAGTCACAACTAATTTTAAATTTTGCTTCTACTTTTTGATACAGTGAGTTCTCTAATACCAAGTATTTGGTTTTGTATATTCTAAATTTGCCTTGATGTTCTAGCTAGAAAAATGTTTCTTCAGAAATTCCGCCATAGGGCCAGGGAAATGGCTCAGTAGAATAAGCGCTTGACTGGCAATCACAAGGATCTGAGTTCAATCCCCGGTTCCGGAAAAAAAAAAAAAAAAAAGAAATTCCGCCATATGAGACAACAATGAACGTTGACAACATTACGATAAGGGAAATAAATCGGGCACAAAAGACAAATACTGCATAAGTCCATTTATATAAAGTACATAAACAGAATCAGAAATACAGTGTACACTAAGGACTGAGGAGGAAATGAGAAACTACAATGTAGGACACGCAGGTTAGGCATCTGAGGAACACTGTGTATCTACAGTTAATAACTATTGTGCACTGAAAAATGTATTAAGAGGGTAGCTCTCTTACAACTGTTCTTAGCACAACTAAAAAATGTATGCTTCTTCACTCTTAGTATTTTAGAACCAGTCTCCACCTAACCTTATCTATGCACAGATTATCATGTCTTCACTTCTCTAATGGACCACTTGCTTCCAGGTCTGTAACTCTTGCTTGGTCTTCTGTCATTATAATTTCAATCTAAGAACTGAGTAGTGTTCATCTGACACCATTTGGATTCTTAAAACCTGCCAATATTTTAAGTAATTTCAGTCTGAACTTCCAGACTAGTCCCAAACATTCAACAAATAGTTCAAATTGTACTTTAATCAGTAAACATATTAGTCTAAGTTTAAAATCATTAAAATCTTGTGCTTTCATCTAGATTTTTATTTTACCACACTATACCCAAATCAATCTGTAATCTTACTACTCAAACTACATTTTTACTGGCAAAATTTGGAGACTTCAAAGGATATTCTCTTCTCTTAAACATGTATTTTACATATTTCCTAGTTGTGGGTTAATACTTCACTATTTTAGAACCAAAATCATACATGTATCACACACAAGTGGGCAATTAATTTTAAAATATAACTAAGTATTAGGAAAAAAGACTGAGCATAAAATACTTGAATACATTTTCTAAGTGTGAAAGAAGACTGAAACAAATACAGCTTAACACTTTTCCTTATGTCTGCTAAAGGGTATCACACATATGCAACCAAAATTCAAGAACTGAAGTACTACTTCTTTTCTAGAAAATGAAACCTTCCTAAGAACTAACAATGACTATTATTAATCAAATAGGCTGATTGGCTCATCTTTACTGAGGTTATAAAACCTTCCATTTATTCATTTTTATCAATTTTTAGTAAGCGTGTGTGGGTGTGGGCATGGTGTTTTACACGGGGGCCACTGCACAGAACTAAGGCCCTGGCACTTTTATTTTGAGACAGCATATGGCTAAATTGTCCAGGATGAGTTTGAGATCCTCCTGCCTCAGCTTCCCAGAGTGCTGGGATGACAGGTATATATCATTGTGCCCAGCTTGCTTTCAAGTGGTAGCTACAGTATCAGAAACTCCTCTTTTGTCTCAAGATTTAGCTCCTATAGAATGTGAGCTCTTTTATAAAAGTAATACTAGATCATTGCTTTTACTACTAGCAAAATACCAAGCTAAAATTAAAAGAAAAGCCCACTAATGGCAAGAGGAAAAAGTTCCAATCCAAATTTTTAGTTCCTCATGACACTAGGCTGTACTTTGAACTACTAATCTCCTCCCTACTGAATATCTGCTAAATATTAAACATCACATATATGTCCAAAGTTAAGAATTTAGTTAAGGGAAGGTGAGGACTCAACTATAAGGTGATCTCACACAACAGTCTAGAAAGGTTTAACTTTATCTATCATAGGGCTAACTTTTCTTGACTTTTAAAACAAACTACCAGCAACTTCAATGCTAGATGCCCTCTCAAAATGCCTGTAACATTCAATACCAATGTACTTTAAGTGCATGTGTTTTATCTCAGGCTTCAGATAGTTATGTGTCAGACATTAATTCCACATAATTATTAAATGAGTATAGGCAAAGTATCAAAATACTGAATACAAAAAAAAAATTTGAGAGACAACAAAATTCACCATTTAAACAGTTTATTAAACCTTATCAAAATGACTGCCAATAAAAAAATTGAAAACTGTAAAAACACTTACTTCATTTCCATGTTTTTGCAGGAATTCAATTTCCTGTTGTGTGAATGTTGTCATGGAGATAGACTTCACTCTGTGTGGAGGATTTAACCCTCGTCTAAAAAATAAAATGTTTCACAAATTTATCACTATACATCTTAAAATGATACATGTAGAAGTTGAAAGCATTTTTAATTAGAACATTTAAACTTGGAACAGTGTTTTCATTCCATAAATCAAAAGTATTTAAAAATTATTTTAAACTCTTAATTATCACAAGATGCCAAAGTAAGTCTGATTAAATTCATACTAAATAACATATTTGAAGATGGATTCCATTAACTACCTAGTTAGGAAAACAGACTCTATAGCATATGAACCTCTAGAATGGACCAGGGATATAGCTCAGTAGCATAGCATAAACGCCTGCCTGGCAAGTGCAAGGTCCCAAGTTCTATCCCCAGTGCCACAAACACACACACACAACACACAAAAGACCTATAGCATGAACCTCTAGAAAACACAAAGATTGCTTCAGAATATTTCTGACATAAGAATTGACCATAGAACTATGGTAAAGAATTTAAAAACTATTTTCATGCTTTCCAAGAGACAAGGATGTGTTAAGAGTGAAAGATACCCACTTTTAAATAAAGTTTGGGACTAACATAGAAAAACTACATGAAAGCTGACAAAACTTGAAGTAACTAATCAATATAAATAAGGTGCTATTCTCCCTAGCAATCCAAGATTTACAATAATGTCTTCAATCACGAGGCAAGGGGCCGGGGAGAAGGCTCAGTGGAATAAGCGCTTCCCTGGCAAGCGCAAGGGCCTGAGTTCAATCTCTGGTGGTGGTGGTGGGGGGGGGGATCACAAGGCAATGGTTTAATAGGACATTAAACCATTGTTAGAACACAGAGAAAGGATTTAAGAAGAGCTGGATATACAATTTAATGACATTGAAAGTTTTTTAACCTTGACGTTTTTACTTATGGATGGTCTTATAAGGAATTTATCTTAGTGACTTTTGATCATGTATACAGAGAAAAATTTGTACAACTAATACAAAGTCACCTACTCACAGAAACACAGATTAAAATAATCCATGCAGACTTCAGTGGAGTAATGTTAGGGTCATGTCCTCTTACAAAGACCTCATTTGAAATCTACTTTCTAGAGCAAATTAGTAGTTTTACAGGACTTGTCATGATTAAGTCAGTCATCCATGCTAATTAAATGAGATTTTAAAATAATATAATAGTAGCTGAACCAAAGGTCTTCAAAAACTCTTCAGAAACATTTCTGAATTAAATGTGGTGTATAATCTAGAAATTCATGACATTACCAAGTCAACATTAAGTGAAATTCAGAATTAACAAAAGCTCTCCTAATTTCCTATCCTGCTTCTTTCTCCTCCTTCCACTTAACAGTAGTAACAATATAACTTTCATGAAACAATAAAAAACAGAACAAGTTATATTGCATCACTTTCATATTTTAAAGTTGAGAAAGATCAACTTGGTTTTGTGTTACTTTGTTTTGCTTTGATTACACCTTAATAAATTGTTTCCTTCCAATTCTTAATAGGTAATAAAATACAGAAATAAAGACTAAGCAGAGGAGAAACTAAATAACGATGTTATTTTAGTAAAACTTTCTAACTTAAATGTGAAGAAACAATTTCAGCATAAGTAAATTTCAGGTATCTTCACAATTAATTTGCAATCATAAATTAAGGCTCTAAATGACTCAAATTTCTCTAAGTGGACAATCGTTATTTGTTAAAGCATAAAGCTACTTTCCAATTTTCCCCTAGGATAAGAACAAAACTAAATTCACCACCCTTGGGGAAGTGTAGTAACTTAGGATGTTTGCCCCCTACCTCGCTCCAGAGAAGGACTTCTCTGTGCTTCTATTCCCTCCGTATACTTTGACTCTCTTCTTTTTCCCTAATTCTTTCTTTATCCACTTCTGTGTAACAGTTTTTAAAACACGAAAGGCAAAGAAATAATTTTGATGAAGAACTATCAAACACTAGTATTAAAAGGTGTATATTTTGGAGCAAAGAATTATACCTCTCATTGTCCAATTACAAAAAGTGATAAAGCTAATTCTGGCTTTTTAAAAATGACATTACAGAGATGTACTCGGATGAATGCAATACAATGTAGTGTATTTACTGATAAATTTCCAAGACCTTCCATATAACATATCTATGAACAAAATATTCATAGTACCTAAATAAACAAAATTTTAAATTTATGAAACAAATACAACCAGAATGTACTCACAGCCAAACTATGAAACAATTTTTTTTCCACTTAACAAGAACACTCATTACAGAATTTCATTAAATGAATTCTCCCAGTATACTTAAAACCATACTCAACTTATAAAAATGACACAGTTCTGCAGGGCATTTATTCATAAACTAAATGATCCAAAGGAAATTTTACATGAAGTCATGTTGCTTTCTTTTACATTCCATTTGTATTGTATGAAACTAATCTTTCCATTTGTGCAAACTAGCTGTATTTCCAATTTAATATATAAAGATGTTCTATGTCAGCATCCAAATACATGAATGTTACACACTTATAGACTGGAGAATGAGCCTACTAATAAGTAGCATTCAGATTAATGAGTCTGCAATGAAAATGAATAGTGTCACACACTGATAGTGTGAATTCACCAATTTATATCAATCACCTCATTCATGCCACTTGGCTCAATACCATTTCAAGGAAACTATTCTAAAGAATTATCTGAAATGTTAAATAACTGTGCATAAGACAGTCACCAACACTGCTCAAAGAAAATACAGGAAAAATAATATCAAGAGGGAAGTGGTTAATTAAATGACAATAAAATACTTCATATGTGTATTTGTTTTTAAGACTGAAAATTATGTAGTATTTTCAGAAGTACATTAAAAATCTCTCTATAAAGAAAACAAACCAGTATTCTAAAATGTTAAGTCGGGGCTGGTGAGATGGATCAGTGGTCTAAAGCACTTACTTAGAACAAGCTTAGCAAAGCACAGGGACCGCGGTTCAATCCGCCAGCACCACACGCCAGCCAGCCCCGCCCCCTGGTGGACTGAGGTAGCCACACACACACACACACACACACACACACACACACACACAAATAAATAAAATTTTTAAAAAAATGTTAAGTCCTTGCTTACAGAAAATGCCTTTGGTTTTGTATTTTTTGGGTTTTTTCCTATTTTCAATTATCGCTGGGGAAATAGCTCAGCATCATAAGCACTTGCACAACAAGCACAAGGTCCTGAGTTCAATCCCAGGTACAAAAAATTTAAAAAGCAGCTATCTATTTTCTCTGATGTTTTCCACAATAAATGTATATTTCATATAACCTCATTTATATGTGTATGTACATTCCAATTATAAGTTGAAAAAATGGCAAGATATAATGAAGATACAATTCAAGAGTACTGATTGTGAAAAATTTGGACTGTGAGCCCTGAATTTACTGATGTAGACAGCTATGGCTAAATAATTAAAGGGAGCCTGTGGGTTAGCTCAGTTGTTTAAGCGCCTGCTGCAGCAAACCCAGTCAGGCACAGAGGACCACGGTTCGATCCCCAGCTCCCCATGCCTTACCAGAACTGCCCATAAGGCTGTCTGAGCCAGCCAAAAAAAAAAAAAAAAAGAATTAAAGAAAAAAAAATGTAATAAGCAAAAGAGACAAGTTTTCTAAGGCCTTCTTACACTTTTTCAAAACCTAGGAAAAATGCCCTTGCAAATCCTATGACACCCACCCACCAGTCTCTTCATTTCTCTAAGCAGTTTCTTAATCATGGCACCGAATGACACTCATGGCCACACTAACTGCGCTGTGGGTGCTGCTCTGCACGCCACAGGTCCCAGCAGCACCTCCGGCCTCTGCCCCAGCCAAGAGTGCGCCCCATCAACTAGTGACTAATTTCCAGATATGGTCTCATCTGTTGTGCAGGGCAAAGTCCTCCCGATAAAGAACCACTGCTCTAAATGCAATGTGTGGCAATTCCAAGCAAAAACAGACACACAAACAGAGTTTCTCTGCATCTCACTTTCTACACTTTTACTCCACTGGCAACAAAAAAATTATTCCCTAACTTATGTCCACATAAGAGAAAGGAGTTTTTTTTAAATGATAACCTGTTCACAACAAGAATGAACTACAAGACATAAAAATTACTTGCTTGGCAAAATATGGAATTCATGAGACAGAAGAAAAGTCACATTTATGAAGTACCTGGACTGGAACTTGGGAGTATCTACTTTCATCCTGTTTCTTTTTTTTTTTTTTTTTTTGGTTGTTGTTGTTGTTATTTTTTTTTTTATTTTTCAACAAATAATACACTGCATATATTCTTCTTAGTGGTTAATTGCTGTACAAGATGCGGACTTGTGATCCTATTTACAAACACCATTAGAACAAATCATTCTATTCATTAACAGAATGTAACTATATATCTATCCCAACCACTTTGAATACACAGATACAAAATGGACATTCATCTGTATACCCCATTTTTTCTAAGTTCCGTTATTGAATATTATAGGTGTGTAAACTCAGCAAAATATTCTAAAAGAGTCCAGTAGCCCATAATAGCATTGGGTCTTCTGTTTAACTGGCAATGTCAGAAATTATTGACCTGAGTCCCCCATTTCATCCTGTTTCTAACAGCACGGAGAGACTCTGATAGGACAAAAAGGGTTTGCTGTTAAAATGGAAGTGATTCCATGCATTACCAAAAAAGCTGTTAACTTGGAGTTTTTAGAAAGCGCTGGGCAAGTAAACCACATTTTTATGGGGCCAATATTGAGGGAAGTATTCCAAATTCTAAAACAGATATTTTAAGTCTTCAGTTTTTGGTTTTTTTTTTTTTTTTGCTTTGAAAACATGTTTGCCAGTTGTTTCAAGGTCCCAAGTGACCTCCTGGCACAATGTAGCATCTTTTTTGTAGTACAATTAAGTCACAGAGACCCCCAGGAATTTCAGTCATAATGACCACCACCCCATGTGAGTTAACCCAATGGTATGCCTCATTCCACAAGCCCACCAGTATATTGCTCTCAAATGTGCCTCAATCTTACAAAGAGCAAGGGCCAGGGAGATAGCTCAGCAGCATAAGCACCTGCCTGGCAAGTGCAAGGTTCTGAGTTCAAGCCGCAGTACCGCAGAAAATAAACAAATCTTACAAACAGCCACTGGTTCAATACAAATAACAATCTGAGCTAAGTCAGCAAGAAAGCTTATTTGCTGGGAGGCATACCTGTAATCCCAACACTTGGTATGCTGAGGCAGGCGGTTCTCTGTGAGTTGAGGCCAGCCTGGAACACATTAAATTCAAGCAAAACCTGAACTACACAGCCAGATCCTCTTTCAAAAAACCAATTAAAGGGAGGGTGTAGGGGTGTAAAAAAAAAATTTAAAAACCAATTAAGCCAGCATGCCTAGCCAGCCTGGCCCCCGGGGCAAGAAGAGACTGCAACTGAGACTGGGCAGGGAGGCGGGTGCTTGGGAGGCTGAAAACAGTAAAATCACTACAAGTCCGATCTATGCAGTGAGACCCTGTAGAGTCCGTACTATATACATATATATATACATATATATATACATATATATATATGTTTTTTTAAAGAAAATAAAAAATATTTTAGTAATAATTAGGTTAATTCATTTTTCTATAGCAATCAAAAATTGAGAAGTAGACTACTGCTGCTTGTCATACATTTTACTTTTAAAATTAAGTTCATGTATTCTTTTAATAAAAATTTACTGTAATCCCAGCACTCTAGACACTGAGGTAGAAGGACTGCTACATGTTCAAAGCCAACGGAGGTTACAGGGTCTTCAAGAACCCCCCTTGAAATGCACAGCAAGACCCGGTCTCAAAAAAAGAAAAAACATTATAATTGAAATAAAAATGAAAAAAAGAATTGAAAATAAATACTTCTTGGTCTTCAAAGTAATACACAATTTACACAGGTTATTCTCTTTAGTGGATAAAAAACTTCTTAGCGGCCAGGGAGATGGCTCAGTAGAATAAGCACTTCCCTGGCAAGCGCAAGGGCCTGAGTTCAATCCCCAGTTCTGCCAAAAAAAAAATTCTTACAAAACTTGAGGAAATTTTTTCACTCCCAAACACTGTTTCTTCACTATACACTGGTAATCTTTCTGAAGCAGCACCTACTAAATACAACTGGGTCCAAATTAGAACTATCAAGATTTATTGGCTAAGAAGAAAGGTTTATAGAAAAAAGGAAGCACAAGTTTTCAGATTTTCCAGCATTATTAGCTTAATTTTCACGCTTCCCCCATTGAAGAGCTTACAATTCAACAACAACAAAAATTCTTAGAACCTGACAATTACAAGGAAAGTTCCTCTTCCTTTTCTAAACATGCCCTTCACTAACTTCCATGCACAGGTGTTGTATACTCCCCTGGAGTCATAAAAATAAATACTATTCTTTCACTGTCAGACCATGAATTACCCAAAGGCAGTGATCATGCACACACGCAACCACCCCACAAACCCAGTCTTTTCTGCTTCAAGTTACTAACAATTCTGTTTGTGCTAAAAGTGTGAAAGATCCTCTTGTAGCTTCAAATCGTTTCTATTCCAATCAAATTCCAAGACGCATGCTCTAGTCTGTTAGTGTGCTTCTTAAAATATGCGACAGTAATAAAAACAAGGCATAATTACAACCTCCCTCCTTAAAAGTTTCAAGCAAAAAAATTAATACCATACTCACAAATCTATGAACAAAATGTATTCTTATAAAAATTTCCATTGCCACAAAAGCACAGGGGGAGAACAGGTAAAGGATTAAAAAAAATTTGTACATGAACCAATGCCACAGAACATGTACTGCAAATATACACTAAAAAGGAGGTGCGAGGGCAAGGGAAAGGTGATGAAACAGGAATGAAGATGTGTCATGTG